AGGGTGGAGGGCGGGGGCAGCGTTCGATGCCGAATGCCACAGGCCACGGCTAGTAGTACCGCCGAACATTGTGCAAACGAGCGCAGCGACCCGCGCGCCGCTGGCCCACCGCGCACTCACCCCTTGTCAAGCATCAGGCTTGCCATTCATTGTCACTCAGCTACCCCTACTCAGCCTACCTTCGCCCACATCGGCAGTCCTTGCAGCGCTGGCCCGCCGCCGCCCCCAACTCTTTCGATTGGGTTGCACGCGGGGACCACGAGGGCGAGTCGGAAAAGAGGGATGCGCCTGCTGCGTCGGCCCCCCCCCCTCGCGTTGGCCAGGGCGGCCGCGCCCGCGCTCGCGACCAGCCCACTCACCCTAGTCAACTCCCACGCTACCCACAAGCACAGCCCGCAACGTTCTTTTCACTCACTGCCGTCTCGCTTTGGTCACACCTCCCACCTGTGCCGCTGCGGAGTGCGCGCGCCCGACCCAGTTGGCAAGCGCACTCCTTTTTGCCGACTCCTGCAGCGCTTCCGTCACGTGTGGAGGGTCGGGCTTATGGTGGTCGTGGTGGTGGTGGTGGGGGGGCAACGGAACTGCATCTGCACAGCCACCGCCACGAAAGGCGCAAACCTCCCATGCACCCGGTCGAGCCCCCCAAGCGGCCACCAGTCCCACTCGGGGACCCTTGGCCTGCCTCGGCGGGTGAGGGTTCCTTGATTTGGACTGTGGGCCGCTCTGTGGGGTTGTGGCCGTGGCCACTCTCTCTACCACCAGCCTCTTGCCGCACCACGCCGCCAGCTGCAGCGCCGCAGCCTCCCCTCCACTCCTTCCCTCCTCCTCAGTGTTGATCCTTTTGCTATCCTCTTTCTCCTCCCCCCAGGGAGCAGGGGGACATAGCTACCCCGCCCCTGGGGAGACCACTGGGCGATTTCCCCTTTTTTTCCATTGCTAATTCTACTAGTTTGGTTACCCCCCGGGGCAACCGCCCCTTGGGGCGGGGGTGAGGCGTGGCAGCGTCCCTGGGGACTCGGATGCCTTCAGCGTCCAGCGCCCAGGAGGAGGAGGAGGAGGTCGAGGAGGATGAGGAGGCAGAGGAGGAGGAGGAGGAGGAGGAGGAGGAGGAGGAGGAGGAGGAGGAGGAGGAGGAGGAGGAGGAGGTGGTGGTGGTGGTGGTGGTGGTGGTGGAGCCGTTGGGGGCCATGTCCGATCCGCTTGCAGCTCGTCGGGCCCCTAGGGAAGATATGGAAGCATACAAGGATGGGACGTGTGCCTGTCCCTCCCCTGCCGCCTACGGCGAACGCCGCAGCATCTCGCTGCAAGCGCTGCCGCTTCGGCAGAGGCTCCCGTCGCACTTTTAAACCTCAAAACTCGTGTGTGTGTGTGTGGTTACCCCTTCATGGGGCGAGCCACACACCCCGTACTGCTGTACCTCTGGCCTCGAGAGGCCTGGGAGGAAAAAAAAGGAAAAAACTCAGATCGAGATGTGTTGACTGAAGCCTGCCTCCACCTCCCCCGCCCGCGTCCAAGGGCTGTCCTGCTGGCTGTACACATACAGCAGCAGCCCGTGCGGGTCGGCGGTGGCCCAGCCCATTCGGAGGGAGAGGCGAGCGGCAGCAGCAGGCACTCTCGGAGGGAGGGGAAGCTGTGCGTGCTGGCTCTATCTACTGCCCCTCCTCCCGCTCACTGCTCCCACTCGGCCTCGAAATCTCCCAGTCGAAACGCTGCACTCCGTAGTCAGACTCATCTAGCACCCTTATGCACTCATGCAGACGGTCCAGCTCGTCCCTCAGGTAGCTTATCTGACTGTCTAGGTTGCGACGCGTGGTGAGGAGGAGGAGGAGGAGGAGGAGGAGGAGGAGGAGGAGGAGGAGGAGGAGGAGGAGGAGGAGGAGGCGCAGGAGGAGGAGAAGGAGGAGCTGCACGCCTGGGGAGCTGAGTGCATGCACAAGGCAACCCTTCTCGACCTGGACAGCCAGCCGCGCTCCTGCAAGGTCAGCCTCGCTCGACGTGAGCAACGCCCACAACGACTTCGACCAAGCAGCTGCGGCGGCGGTAGTGTCGGCCATGGTCCCAAGCCTGCTGCCTTGGGCGCGCCTGGGCCTGTGCACGGCGACCACGCACTTGCGCGTGGCGCGCGACGGCACGCAGGCCTGGCTTCCGAAAGAGCGCGGCGGGGACAAATGAAACGCTCTCACCAACCAGGTTTCCCCCTTGCGCTACCTGGGGGTGACCAGCTCCGTGGAGCTGGCCGCAGCCACGGCGGCAGACCCTGCGAGGGGCTACTGCTACCAGGTTCATCAGATGTCATTTGCGACCCGAGCAGGGCCGGGGCCGCCGATGGAACCTTCACCCGGGCGTGCGCCGCGGCCGGCTTCCATTGGCAACCCAGACCAGACGAAACTAAGCCCAGGCTGGGAGGCCGACGTGGCGGCACTCCCTGGGCGGCTCGAGCTGGAACCCCGGGCCTTCCTTGGTGCTCCGCCACGGCGCGTTGCAGGCTGTCTCGGCGCCC